CTCATCTGCTGAGCCATCTCAATGGCCCTGGGGATATGTTTTACCTCCCACACACGCTGCTTGAAGCTTCTCATCCATGAACCTTCCTACGTGCACAGAAGCACGTAAATGTTCTTTGTCCTTTCCCATCTGCAATGGGAAGGAACCAGTAAAATCCATCCCTACCTTGAAGTCTATGACCCAGACTTTCTGCCCCCCCTCCTTCCTGGGGTACATCTCCCTGTTTAAGACAGGCTCGCAAGACTCGGTTGACAACATTGTGGCTGAGCAGATCATGTGCGGTGTTCTTTGTTGGCTGACCGAAGAGAAAAAGGAGAATTTTCCAGAATATGATCTCTTATGGCTTGGCGGGGCTTTCCGGGGTTAGGCTGAGTGAGAGTATGATGAGGTCTGCCCTGCTTCCTCCTCACTAGGAAATGCACCCTCAGTTGCAAAGCCCACAGCTTGGTTATTGGAAAGGTCTGAGAAAGCCACGACCCGGGCCCCAGCTGAGGAACACCAAGGTCTCAGTTTGACTTCTGTCAGCCTGTAGGTCTCAAGAGCTTTCCTGTTTCCACTCCTTCCCGGGCTAGCTAAGGTCACAACCTTCTAGAAGAATGCAGGGTCAGCCAGCCCGTCTGCAATTTCCTCTCCCTGTGTGTGAAAGGAGATATGTCCAACTGTGAATACACAGAGTCCACATCCTTGTGACTCAGCAGATGCGAATGTCCTCAGTCCCCTCCCCTGGAACATCAAGCTTCTGAGGTTTGATGCGGTGGCTACAGATGCTGGTGAGCCTGGACTCACAGGTATTTCTCCCTGGGTCTTCCAGGTTAGCCCTCAAGTCAGTCATAGCCATACCTATCTATACCAGTACTGGAGATTGAATCCAGAGCTTTGCACACTCTAGAAGAGTACCCTGCCATTGAGCTATGTCCCTAGCCTGTGTTTAAGGTATTTTTATGAACTGAATTGTGTTTACTTCCTCCTAAACTCATATCTAGAACTCTTAGTCACCTATATTTCAGAAAGTAACTATTTTAAAGATAGGGCCTTATAGGGATGAATAGATAAGACAAAGATATATTATGGGCACTAATCCAGCATGACTGGTGACCTTGCTTAAAAAAAAAAAAAAAAAAAAAAGGCCAGGCAGTGGTGCCACACGCCTTTAATCCCAGCACTCGGGAGGCAGAGGCAGGCGGATCTCTGTGAGTTCGAGGCCAGCCTGGGCTACCAAGTGAATTCCAGGAAAGGCACAAATCTACACAGAGAAACCCTGTCTCGAAAAACAAAACAAAACAAAAAACAAAACAAAAAACAAAACAAAACAAAAAAGACATAGACATCTACGGAAAGAAGACTGGGAGAAGGTGACGAACCAAGACACCTCCAATGAAGCCACAGCTCTAAAGCTAAGGAAATCGATTTCTACTGTGTAGATGACCCAGACTGAGGTATTTTGTTATGCCATTTCTCACTAACGCAGCACCACCAACAAAAACAGGGAAACAAAGTAGGGGAACTTGACGGAGCCCTGACAGCCGGGCTTCGGTGGTTGACTGCTTGTCCAGCACCTTCAAGGGCCCGGGCTCAATCTTCAGGACTGCAAAACCAAAACCAAAAAGCAGAACATGAACAACAGCCAGCGTCTGCCTTGTCCTCCCCCATGGAAGCTGCCCTGAAGTGAGCTTTACCTTGGATTTTTACTGAGGTCATCTAATTCTAAAACATAATGTTATTGTGTATAGATTTTGCACTAAAAAAAAAAAAAAGTACCATACTGTATGTGGTTCTCCAGGATTTTTTTTTTCATTTATCACTTTTTTTTTTCCAGGAAAAGTATTAAAGAATGTAGATTCGGGGTAGGCAAATCTGGGCTGAAATCCAGATCCCAAGCACTCCAGCTGGGAGAAGGAGGCAGCGTTCTTAACTCTGCTGAGGCTCACCTCATCATCGTTCTAAATGGAGCTCATTTCCCTTACAAGGCTGTGAACAGGACTGCAGAAGAATGCTCTGCTGGAGCACTGGTCCCTGGAAATCATCGCTAGAGCTTTTGTTGTTACTGTTTTCTTTAACCGGGATTGAATGGAAGGTCATACAATCCACTGGTTTCTAGATTAAGAGCTCCGGGTGTGAATTCTAGCCAGTGAGTGCAGGACTCGGGGAAATCAGGGTCCAGCTATCCGTTGTGAATTGCTGCTAATAGAGGCATCAGTGGGAGGGAGGCAACATCAAGAAGAGAAAAACTTGAAGGCAGCTCACCCACTGTGCCTGTGCCTTTGAAATACCAATTAACCACTCTGCGAGGCTCTTCTACTGTTACAAGTCTCTAAGCCTGCTAAGATTTGCTGAGAATGGGACCTTCTCAACAGATGCCAAGCGAGATGTTTCCGGGGTTGCAGCAACCGTGAATAGAACAATATGGGGCTGACATCAAACTGGGGGTGGAGGGGAGGGGCAGATGGGAAGGAAATTCTCCAAGCCTGTCTTAGATGGTGTCCCTTCCAATGGCCCAGTTTTCACATGTACTAACTTTGGTTGTCCATGGAGCACGGGACTTGGATTTTCTTTCTAGAGACCTCATGGTTCACTTGCTTATTTAGATGTGACCTTCTTTTGCATCCCAAATATAAACTGGGTGTTTTCAGTTTGCTTTGTTTTGTTGGCAAATAAATGAGCGGAAAAGGGAAGCGACTCTAAGATGTGGAGTCAGGGGAGAATGGCGAGGCTGACATTAAAACATCGTGCATACTAAAATATTTATGTGTGTGTGTGTGTGTGGGGGGGATATTAATGTGGCATCCAGCAAGCACACAGGCAGCCCTGCTCTGGGGCAGGAACCTCAGAGCTCTTCAAAGAACTTCTCTCTCGGAATGTGGCTTTCCTCTCTGGTCATCTTCCACTTTCAGGGCACACTGTGGCCTCTCTGGAGGTGTCAGCTGGTCAATGCGCCCCCCTGGAGCCAACAGAACAGACCTGGATCTCCTGGGCTTCTTATTCTCTTCTTCCATTCAGGCAGCCATCTGGGAGCAGGGAGAGGCCACAGGGACTCCGGCCCTCCCCAGGACACCCTCTCTAATTTATGGCCTCTTATTCTTTCAACACACACACACACACACACACACACACACACACACACACACACACCTGCACTTCCTGGCTTATTTCCTGAGCTCAGATCAGTCACTCACCTCCTTCCAGACTTCCTTCTTTTCTTTCCAACACACTTCCCTTGGGCTTCCATGAGTCTTCTCAGGGACTCTGGACTTCTTATGGCCAGGAAAGCATGGCCTGCAGGAGGAATTTCCTTACTATACTTACTCACTTTTTTTTTCCATCTTCCTCTTTTTTTTCCCTGTGGGCCCTTCTTTGCCCTCCTCTGTGTAGACTTAAAATGTCTCCTGCTTCCCTTGTCTGTGGCTGGCAGGTCTGCAGTTTGCCAGCACCGTCATAATACGGTGCCACAGTCTAGACATCTTAAACAACAGAAATTTAGTGTCTCACAAGCGAGGCCGGATATAGATTCAGGATGGGTTGGTTTCGGTCCCCCCACTCCACCCTTTGGCATTTTGAGACAGGGTCTTGCTATGTAGCCCTGGCTATCCTGGAACTCAACGTGTAGACCAGGGTGGCTTCAAATTTGTAGCATGATCCCCTGTCTCTCCCTCCCAAGCACTGGGATTACAGGCACACAGCGCCACATCTAGGGGCCTCTCCCCTTAGCATGTAGAAGCCACTTTCCATGTTCTCACGTGGTCTTTCTTTTGTATCTTAATCCCCTCTGCTTCTTCCTGCTCTTCCTCATTACCCAGGCTGTCTCTAACTCTCCGGCTCAAGTAATCCTTCTGCCTCAGTGTCCCCAGTAGTTAGGACTTAAAGGTACACAGCACCACATATGGTAAATTGCCCCTATATCCCCAGTCTGAACTTGAACTCATGGCAATCCTCCTGCCTTAGCCTTCTGAGTGCTAGGATTACAGACATGAGCTACCATGCCCAGAGGAACTCTCCTTTCGTTGTTATTTTTTTTGTTATATGTGTGTATGAATGCCTGCATGTATGTACAGGTACCATGTGCCTGGTGTCTGTGGAGACCAGAATGCACTGGATCCCCTGGAACTGGAGTGACTGACGGTTGTGAGCTGCCCCTTGTGGGTGCTGGGACTGGAACCTGGGTCCTTTGCAAAAGCAGACATTACTCTTAACCAGTGAGTCATCTCTCCAGCCCCTGCCCTCCCCTTTTTATAAGGATATTAGTTATATCATATTAGGGCGTATCTTGATGACCTCATTTTATTTTCATGAGCTGCTTAGCACTCTGTCTCCAGCGACAGTGATGGTCTTGAGACACTGAGGGCTAGGACTTCAACTTACGAATTTAGGAGAAGTACAAGCCAGCCCCTAAGAGGCGGGCGGCAGGAGAGGTGGTGGAAGGGCCACGGCCTTCTGTGATGATGGCAGGCGGGCACTTTTAAGGGAGGATGCGGAGAGCTCGCATCTTGTTGGCAAAAGAAGACTGCTCTCAATGTTCTGTCCATTCAGCAGCCAACCCTAGTGTTACCCGAGCCACGGGGTCTTGGACTATAGGGAACCAGATGGAGATTGCTCCCAAAACAGCCACGCATTAGATAAACAAGTTTAATAATAAAAATGAGAAAAGATTACAACACAGTAGGCTGGCAAAAGGCTGTTGTACAAAGTCTAATGTTGGACATCCTGACTCCTGTGAATTCTGGGAAGTCACAAGATTGGTCCTCTCACTCTAGAGAGTCTCTTCACTCACGTGTCCTGACAGGGTAGGCTTCTGTCTTCCCGATATGATTGCTGCCCAGGCTGGTTCTGAACTCTGTCACCGAGTGAGGAAAGCTGCCTAAATTTGACCTTTAACCTGCGGTAAAAATGACACTCCTTTACAGCCGTTTCCTCGGTCCACACCCCATCGCGGCGTCTGAGGCTAGCAGACAGGTGAAAGCCGGTTTTCTGGAGCACTAAGAGCTTGGGGGAATGCTGACTCCCCAGCAGGAGACGGCCCCAGCTCCCAGGGGCTCCTGAAAGTTCTGAGTCCTGCAGACTTCTCCCTCTCTCTCTTGTAAAGTGCTCAGGAACACAGAACGTCTGGGTACTGGTGACAAGCAGGGTCCAAGAGCTTGCACAGAAGGAACACAGGGGGCTTGGACCTCGCTGGCAGCCACCGACACCTGGGCCAGTTAGGAGGTGCTGCTCCTCCTCCGGGGGTGAAGGGCTTTCCTCCTGGCGATGTCCTCCTCTGTGTCACTCTCGCAGTTCCTCTGGGGAGGAGAAAGAGGCCCAGAGCAGGGTGTCACAGCATGACAGGAATGGAGCCCATGTTCACATACTCAAGCAAGGGGCTTACAATCTGGGGGGAGCGGGGTGGTGTCAAAGGGAAGCCCTTAGCTCTTCCACCCAGAGACCTCCGGCAGACAGGAGGGGGCTGGAAATGAGCCCAGACTAATTGTATGGAGACCTCCTTCTCAGGAGCCAGGAAAGCAGGAGGGGCCCAATTATAACAGTGACAATGTCGTCTGGTGCCGTTGGTTGCCAGTGGCCACATCAAAGGCAACTGAAGTTCAAGGTGTCAGCCCACCAGGAGGAAACTGTCTGATGGGTCAACCTCAGACAGGCAAGGCCCCGAGACCCCAGAATGTCTTTTGCTTCTGCTGTGCCTTTACATGTCTGCTGCTTTTATCTTTTCCTGGTATCTGGCATGGTGTGAATGGGTGTGGGAAGATCCCCACTGCCTGTAATGTAGTGTGTTTATCTCATGGAAACATCCTTTCTAATCCACATTTTAACCTGTGGATTATTATGAAGATGATTTCTTCCTAAGCTGTCCTGACTAATTGATAATTATAATATTAGTTTATACAGAATTTTGATGAATAAAAATAAATACAAGAAAGTGTCACACAGATAAAACACATGAGTTTCTATTGAGGAGCCGTATAGACTGTGGCTTAGGTTAATGATTAAGAAAAACAACTGGGTCCCAGTTGGCCCAGCTAGCTTAAATTCTTTTAACCTTAATGTTGGGAGATAAGTTCACAGGTTTCGGAGTGCATCACAGCTGGGACAAAGCTTTGAAAATAACTTAAAGTTAGACTAAGATGTTTTTGTCAAATAACTTTGAGGTGAAAAACCCAAGAAGACAATCTAAACTTTTAGAAAGGCACATAGTTGAGTGAGGAACTCTTTAAGGTCAGGGAACAAGAACAAAGCAGCCCAATTATCATTAGCTGACTCGCCTTTCTTGCTAGGATTGGTTGATGACCAAAGGTAATGATTAACTCCTTATACCCATTTCTGCTCTCAATCTCCTGATGTAAAAAACTATTGATGAGTGGGAATGTACCCTAAAGATCTAAAGTAAAGCTGACTGATTCTTTTTCATATATAAAAGTTTGGGTTTATGATTCCTTTAAGATTCCTTATAAGATTACCTTTCAAGATAAGTAATAAAGTAATTGGCCCTTTCTTTGTAACCACAAAATGCAGCCTGCTAGTAAAAGACCTGACAAGAAGAATATCTTGCTTGCCCACATAGTTAATCTATAACAAGTTGCTTGGGTTCGAATGTATGTGGGTTCTTGGGATAAATTGTTTTTCACCTGTAATATATAAAATGTTTAATTATGTAAGGGATATGGAAAACATGCTGTTTTTTAGTTTGTTTTGTATTCATTGTAATTATTCACTTGAAAAACAGAATGTAACCACATTGTAATTCTTAAATTGCCTGAAAAACTTTGTTGGGGTATATAAGCTGTAGAAAAAAAATATATACAGTAAAGAACACAGAAGAACAGAGAGAATAAAGAAGGAAACCACTGAGAGAGTGTATGAGTGTCTTTTTCCCTAATCCCCTCAGATAAAAAAGTCATAGTACATGCCCTTTGAGCCCTGAGCTGCCTGGAGGCTAGTCCCCTAGGTGTGGATAATTTGTGCCTGTTGATAGTCAAGGCCACTTGGAAAGGTGGTTTGTGGGACACTGGGTCTCCTGAGCTCAGCCTGTGGGCAAGGGGTTGATTTTTCTGTAAGGTCCTCTGGCCAGCACTCCAGACCCTTGGCCTCAACGGGCTTTCACTAGGCCCTCAGCAAGCTTTACTGCAAAGCCTTTCAAAGGGAGTGACCTTCTGAGTTTCATTTCCATGAAAGTACAACCTGTCAGCCCCACACAGCTAAAGCAGAGTTAGAACAACTACCTGGAGGTTACAATGTCTTTCCAGGCGGGGCCCACCAATTGAAGTGTTAAAACTGCGATGATTATTTTAAGGGGTTTTGTTTGTTCAAACTATGAAGCTTTATTTTATTTTGTCTGTGTGCCTGAGTGAATATATGTGAACCATATGCATGCAGGTGCCCATGGGGGCCAGAAGAGGGAGCTGGATCCCCTGGAATTGGAGCTAGAGGTAGTTGTGAGTCACTGCATCGGCACCAGGAACCAAACCTGGATCTTCTGCGAGAGCAGTAGGTACTCTTAACTGCTGAAACATCTCTCCAGCTCCAGTTAATTCCAGTTATTAAAAGAATAACTAAGATTTAAATGGGCCCCCAAAATGTTTAATTTCTATGCTTCCTAAACAAAAGTTATTATCTTTCTAAAATAAAAATTTAAAGAAGGTCCAATAGGAAAAATATATATAACATGTATGTGGGAGCAGCCTTTTCTTCCTGTAGAATAAGCCATTGAGCAAGTGGCCCAAATGTCTGAATAAAAAATAAAAAAAGAAACTATGTTTGGTACCCGGAAAAAGTTAGGAAAGAAATTTAAACTTTACAGTCCTCCCTGTAACTATATCAAGACAAAAGGTCCAGGTTTAGCGTGAAAGGCATGCCTGCTCTCCTCCAGTCACACACCCCTCCAGGCAAGCCTGAGCCAGCTGGGAATCTGAGGTCAAGATCAACTTGAGCCAAACACATCCTGGATCAAGTCTGACTGGGACAACAAAAATAACTCAAGCTTTGCTGAACAGCAGCTTTTTCGTATGAGTCAGAGTCAAACAATAAAAAAGTAAGCTGGACAAAACCGCCTGTGACGAACAGGGGTTCTCGGAGGGAGCCAAGTTGGTTCCCTTCACAGTCCATGAGGCTGGTGGCCAGAAGAAGGACTCAATGTCGAAAAGCCACACAGGCCTGTGGAGCTACCACTTCTCAAGTTCTGGCGAGGGTGGGAATAAACAAGAGCTCAGCCTGAAGAAGGACGACTCCTCAGGACATGTTGGGGCTGTGGGGAGTGCAGGGATGAGCTGGCAGCCGGGTGCGGGACTAGTGCTAAGCATCTTCGGTTTACACAGGGCCACTGCCAGGCAGCTGCTTTCCTGTCCCCTGCTGAGCAAAGAGTCACCTTTTCTCATAATTTATACCTTCCAGACACCCCTTGCTCTCTCCACTCAATGCAGAGGGAGAAGTTACCCCAGGGCACCCCTACCAACTGCAGTGTTAACACTGATGCCCATTTCAAGAACTACTCGAGGATTTTAAGCAGCAGTAACAATTGCTAACACACTGAGCACTTACCCACAGGCATTAAGGAAAGGACATCACTTAAGCCTAATCACTGTCCAACGAGGTAGGAACTGTTATCATCCCCATTTTACAAATGATGACATTTTGGAACAGAGAAATTAAGTAACCTCTTGGAGGCCACACAGCAAGCAAGTAAGTGGCAGATCTGAATTCTGGAAGACAAGCACCCAGAAGCCACCCCCTTGATGAGTATATTCCATTATAAGCCTCTTGTTTTAAACATCCACTAAAGGGCCAGGGACGTAGCTCAATGGTATAGCATTTGCCTAGCATATTAAAGGCCCAGAGTTCAATTCTTAGTACTCAAAAAAAAAAAAAAAAAAACCAGTAAATAAACAAAAAAAATATATAACAAGTAAACATATCATCAAATGTTATCAATACAGATAGTCTAAAGCAAACTAGAAAGAGAAAGGTACAGAGGGTATGAAACTCCCGTTCTAAAGAAGAACTGGGGTTTGTCAGAAATGAACTTTTTGAGGTGGGGTAGTTTGGAATAGGGTCTCATGTCACCTAGGCTGGCCTGCACCCTTGCCTCCACCTCTCCAGTGCTTGGATTATAGGTGTGCACCATCAGACTTGGCCAGAACAAATTTTGGATGGTCTATGGGACTCATTTCCACAGTTCCCCAAGGGCTGCTGGTCCTTGGGTAGGGGCTGGAGGGCTGGGGTGGAGAGGCGGCAGCAGTCCCTTGGACAGCCCATAGGAAAGGATGCCTGATGGTCCCTCAAACATATCCCTCTGCTGGTCTCCTGCAGCCTCCAGGGCAGAAGAAGCTGGAAACAGTTACTGTCCTCCTCCATCCACTCCCACAGTCCAGGAGTTGCCCAAGCCAAGGGCTCTGCACGTACTCACCAGGTCCTCGCTTGTCCTCAAGTGTACCTTCTTCATCAGGGAGCGAGTGAGGTGGTTGCACAAGGAGACGATGCTGAAGGAGAGCTGAGGGAAGAGAGAGGAGAACCACCAGGTAAATAAAATGTGCCGAGAGATCTGGAGAGAAGCAGGGAGGCCCCACTAGGGCCCTGCCCTTCACCCCAAGCCCTGACGCACCTTCCACCGCCTGCGGACATACTGCTTCTTAAAGTTCTCCAGGTTGACCACGGACTCCCTGCGCACCATAGCTTGCTGGTTGTCCACCGGCTGAGAGAGAGAGAACGGCGTGAGTTTCAAATGGCAGCTACCCACGTCCCCAAAGATCTTGGACTACACACCGTCCTCAGCCTGCCCCTGGTGTACCTCCTTCCCCGGCAAGGCATGCAGCGGGAATGTCGAATGTCGCAGCAAGGGTGATGTTACAAATGTCTCACTGCCCAGAAGATATCCTGGGTGTCCCTGAGCTATTATTACCACAGTGTAGTGCATGCATATACAGAGAGAGAGAGAGAGAGAGAGAGAGAGAGAGAGAGAGAGAGAGAGAGACTGAGACAGGCAGACAGATACAGAGACAGACAGACAGGCAGAGACATCATTGCCATCTCTAAGTGAGAAAAACTGGAAGCAGGAGCCATCAGTATTACTTTGGGGAGAGGCAAGGAGGACTGGAGGGACTCTGGTTTTGGTGAGATGCATGCCTATTGGTAGCCGTGGCACTGGTACTCCTCTAGTACTAAGAAATGGAAGGAAATGGGGGCTTTGACGGGGTGGGGTGGGGTAGGGAGGGTCAAATGAGGACAGATGCACAGTCGTCTTTCACCACTGGGCAGTCACGACACAGCTCACGTCTTTGACTGCAGAAAGCTCACCACCACTTCTCTGAGCCTCTGCTGTCTCGCCTGTAATCTTGAGATGCATATGACAGGGCGGAATGAACCCATGGATGTGAAATACTTGATCCAGGACCACTCAGCAAGCAGCAATACAATGATTGTCGTTATCCTTCTCCATTTCCTTTTAAATGTCCCCCTTTTGTAAGATAGTAAAGTGAGGTTTTCCTAGCTGAAGAGAGAGGTTTTGGGGAGTCTGTGGACATCCTAAAATGGTTTGTTGATTTTACAAGTGTAACCTGTATATGAATGGTCAGAGTAGCCCCACTCTTTTGTTTAATGACATGTATTTATTTACCAGTGGGGATGCGGCAGATACGGATGGAGGTCAGAGGGCATCTTGCAGGAGCCGGTTCTCTCCTTCCACCACGTGGGTCTCAGGAAGTGAACTCGGGCTTGGCAGCAAGGGCCTTGACCTGCTGAGCCATCTCTCAGGCTCTGGCACCTTTCTTCAGAGTTTGTTTGAAGGTTCTAACAGAAGAGCAGAACTACTCTTATATCCTTGACAGAACAGTCCTCCCTACAGGGAAAGCCATCTTTGACCACGTACCTAGCTTTGGGAGACACGCACATGGAATACTGAGAGAGGAAAGGGACAGCCACCCAGTCAGCCAGATCAACTTCAGTGCAGCAACAGACATTACAGCCAGATCACCCTTATGTCCAGAGCAGTATTATTCTTAAGATCCAAAAAAAAAGTGGAAACAACCAAAAGCATATCAGCCGATGTCTGGATAAACAAAACATGGCATATATCCATGCAATGTGACACTAATTAGTATTCATTATGAAAACAAGTGAAGTATTGGGCCACGATAAACATGAATAAAGCTGGAAAATGTGTTAAGAGAAAAAAGCCAGACACAAAAGACTGACTCTGTGTGATTCCATTTGTATAAAATGGCCGGAAGAGACAGATAAGTAGAGACAGGAAACAGATTAGGTTACTAGCTGGGGCCAGGAGAGAATGTGGAATGACTGTGGAAGAATGCTTCCTGGGGCCGCAAAGAAGGCTCAGCAGTTAAGAGCGCACACTGTTCTTGCAAAGGATCTGATTCGATTCCCAGCACTCATGTCCAGCCGCTCTCAGCCACCTGTGGCTCCAGCTACAAGGGACCCAATGGCTCTGGCCACCTTAGGCACCTGACTCACATGTACCTTCCCCCTTCCACATACACATAATTAAAAATAAAATGAAGGGGGATGGAGAAAAGGCTCAGTGGTTAAGAGCAAATACTGCTCTTCCAGAGGCCCCGAGTATGGGTCCCAGCACCCATGTTGAACAGCTCAGAATTGCCTGTAACTCCAGCTCTATGGGAAGCCAACACCTTATGTGGGTTCTGGGGATACAACTCAGGTCCTCAGGAAAAGTAGCAAGTACGCTTACCTGCGAAGTCACCTCTCCAGCCTTAAAAATAGGTTTTCCTTCTGGGTTAATAAAAATGTTCTGGGACTAGAAAGCGACAGTGACTGTATGATCTTGTAAAAATACTAAGAACCACTGAATTGCACAGTTTATGATATATTGTTTATGGGGGCAAAAGTGTGTGTGTGTGTGTGTGTGTGTGTGTGTGTGTGTGTGTGTGTGTGTGTGTGTAGGCAAGCAATGGTTCCAAAGACAGTTGATAGCCTCCATGGATTCTCAAAGGACCCTGCAGTCCCAAGGACAACTGTCCAGGATGATCCCTCAGGCCCATGCGACTGTTTGTTTCTGCTCTGATGATGCTGTCATAGTTGAGAGCTACAGAAGGCAGCCCACAGGCTCTTCAGAGCTGTGCTCCCTAAGCACATTCAGAGCACAGCTCTGCTCTCTTTCCCCTCACAGCACCAGACACCAGAAGGAAGCCAGTGTACACGACCATCCACACAGCTTTGGACTGGCATCTGGCAGGAGGCCCATCCCAGGACTACTTCAGCCCATACCCCCAAATATCTCAAAGCCTAACTCAGACATCTTTCAGGAAATATTGCTGACTCTGATATCACTAGAGCCTCGTGTGCTCTGCTCTTTTATTGTGTGTGGAACCCGATGATGTCAACTTGGGAGTTTGGGGGGTGGGGAGCAACCTGAGGACACTGGGATTTGCTTGTGTCCTTGTCTATACCCCCAGGTCATCCCTCACCCCCCTCCTCCCTAAGGTGCTCTCACTTACCAGTTGCATGGTTGAACTGATTCCCTGAGCTATTGACAGGACAAACTGGAATGAAATCCCAGGTCCAGGCCAACAAGATGACTCAGTGGGTAAAGGTGCTTGCTGCCAAGCCTGATGACCTGAGTTCAATCCCAGGTTTCATGTGACAAAAACTGATCTCCACACATGGGCCATGGGGCATTTGCATGCACATGTACACATGTACACACACACACACACACACACACACACACACACACACACACGCACACACACACACCAAATAAATATAATCAAGAAATCCTAAACCTGGGACCTGCTCACACCTACCAATAGGAGGCCCAGGGCTCTTTGCTCAGCTATCATAATACCATTTAGAGGTGTAATTCACTCAGCCATAAATGACCTTTGAGCCTCATCCTGATAGGGTGTATTTGTTTTTCATAAGGAAATTTGAATCAGTAGATCAGTAGACTTGGGGAAAGAAGGGACTTCTTAGGTACTTACTGATGGGTTTCCTCACCTAGAAGAGAAATGGCTCATTCCCACCTCTTCCCCCTACCCCCATAGCTGGAGAGACAGCACAGAGGCCAGGGGGATCCTATTAAGGAAACCCCCACTTCCTGCGGGCTCAACAATGTCACTCATTGAGCAGAGGCCCACATGAAATGTCATGCGGACCTACTCCCAGGCCCATCAACAGGAGGTGACAATTACTTCTGGGCCACTCTATATGCTACACACAGCCACGTGAGTTTCAAGGAAGAGGCCACCTAAGCCATGAATCTGTCAGGCTTAGCCTTTCCTCATTAATGGGTTCTTGGTGGCTAAGAGTCTCTAAAAGGCTGAGGCTGTCATCTCAGCCTGGAAAGTCAGAGACATAAATTCTGCAGTGAGACTTGTCCCTGGAAGGAATGTGGCATTGTTTCTATTGAACTGGGGCTGTGTCTGCCTCCTGCTCCTTCCTCTTCCGATAGACAGTGAGTGCCTATCTTCCAGTTACGGCCTATCACTGACACCAGGGAGCCCAGGCATTTCTGACCAGGATCCTAGGAATGTCTGTCTAGTGTCTGCAAAAAAGGTCAGAAAGTAAGGTGGGAAAACAGAAAGCTGTAGCTGGGGTCAGGCTTTGTTGACACAGATGCAAATGTCCTTGACACAGCCCAGGGGGGTGTCCCTAGGGTCTAAAATGACTTCCACAGGGCAGGGAGAGGAAGCAGCAGCAGCAGCCACCCCCAAGATGTGTGAAAGGAACTGCGGCACCCTCTCCAGTGATTTTTCCCTAAATACCAGGCTTTCCACGGGTGCTGCAAATAGACGAGCTCTTCCAGCCTCCATCTGGGCCATCCTGACAGCCCCACACTCCGCAGAAAGGCAGGAGCAGCCATTTCTCTATCCTGCCCTGGACTGCCACTCTGGGCCTGGCAGACTTCCCTTCTCTCAGGCAAGTCTCCCTCCAGGGGACACCTCTTCCCCTCCCTTTGCTGGCTGGGGTTTGGGCTCTGCTGGCAAATACTTGTTTTCCCAAGAAGATGCAGGTGACAATTGTGTGGGTGTCTCTGCCTCCTCCTGCCTGGGTATGGTGTGCAGAAAAGCCGGGTGCCCCAGAGCTGACCCTGCAGTGATCAGCCAATGGGAGGAAGTGAAAAGGTTCCTCTCCGTGCTTGGCCTAGCCTCATCTTCCTGTTAGGTTTCAGCACAGACACATGGACATTAGTTTAATCCTCTTTGCCAGACTTTCTGTCTTCTGAGCAATTTTTGTTTCCAAGAAAAAACTTTCCAAAACTCTCCCTCCTGTGTCCTGAAGAGAACTGAAAGGCATCCACTAAAGGCCATGAGTGAACCGTGCTTGGGTCCTGATAGGAACAAACCAACTGAATGTCACAGATACCCTGGCCGTGGGAGGAGGGTGTAAGTTTACAAAGGGACGGCGGAATGATGACGACACAATAATGATACAGAAAAGACAACATCAGGAAAGGCTCGCCTCACAAGCATGAGGATTTGAGTTCAACCCCCCAGGACCCACATAAAATTCTGGGCACAGTCGCATGCACTTGTAACTCTAGTTAACAGAGGGGGGGGGAGGGGACAGGTGAATCCCTGGAAGCCCAAAGGCCACCTAGCTCGGCCTCCTTGGTGAAGTTCCAGGAGAATGAGAGACTTGGTCTCAAACGAAGAGTGGAAGGCACCTGAGGAAGGTCCTGCCAGGCTTGGTGGCACACACCCATAACCTCAGCGCTTGGTAGGCTGAGGCAGGAGGATTGTGAATTTGAATTTGAGGCCAGGCTGGACTAAACAGCAAGATGTCTCAAAAGAGGGAGGGGGCCTTAGGAGTTGAATACATTTAAAGTTTGCTTTAAAGTATTTTTTTTTTTTTTTGGTTTTTCGAGACAGGGTTTCTCTGTGTAGCTTTGCGCCTTTCCTGGCACTCACTTGGTAGCCCAGGCTGGCCTCGAACTCACAGAGATCCGCCTGCCTCTGCCTCCCGAGTGCTGGGATTAAAGGCGTGCGCCACCACCGCCCGGCTGGCTTTAAAGTATTTTAAATGCTTCAAAAGAAGCAGGAGTAGGAGATGAAGCCACTGCCCTGGACTTGATCCCTGCTGAAATAAGGTGCGACACACAGAATTCACCATACCATTCCTTCATACTTCTGTGTAGGTTTTGGAATTTTCCCTTTATAATGTTACAGACAAAAACTCCTTGCTCTCTGGAACCTCCCCTTTCCAACTGTCACTCAACGATTCCAAGCTCCTGATCCAATCTGTGCTCAGCCCTCCAGATCCTGCCCCGGACCTTCTTCCTACCAACACGGGAGGGAGCAGGTGACTCCGGGATGAGGCAGCTGCCCAAGACCTCCACAGCCCTCTGTTCTCTTCATGCGCTGCCTCCACCAGAACTCAGCTCTGCTGTGTCTTATACCTCTAACTCAGTGGTTCTCAACCTGGGGGTCACGACCCCTGTGGGAGTCAAATGACCCCTTCACAGGGGTCGCCTAAGACCATTGGAAAACACAGATATTTACATTATGATTAATAACAGTAGCAAAATTACAGTTATGAAGTAGCAATGAAAATTTTATGGTTGGGGATCCGCAGCATGAGGAACTGTATTAAAGGGTCGAAGCGTCAGAAAGGTTGAGAACACTGCTCTAAACGATTGCTTACCAAGTCTTTCCCACCTCCCATTGACTGGATCCCATTGGCTTGATACTGAGTCTTTTTTCCACTTTGAGGTAGCTTTTAAAAATGTTTTTATTAGCATATATTCATTTAGTAAATGGTTTCATTATGCATTTTCATACATGTACATAATGTATTTCAATCATATTCTCTCTCTCTCTCTCTCTCTCTCTCACACACACACACACACACACACACACACACTCACACACACTATTAATCCTTCTCATTTCTCCTCCACTCTTGTACTAATTCTCTTCCTCTTTGTAACTAGTGCCTCTTCTACTTTCAAGTTGTGTGTGTGTGTGTGTGTGTGTGTGTGTGTGTGTGTGTGTGTCCCGATGAGACTCATGAGGCTTGTTTACAGGAGCCTGGATGGGTTTACCAGTGACTACGTCACTAAAGAACCTCTCCCTACCACCCATGAACTAAGTCCACTGCGCCTCTTATCCAAGGGTTGCCATGTCCTCTCCCACGAGAACCAGAACACAGCGAGGGTTTGTTCAACTGAACGGGCCCTGCAACTCCAGTGTGCCCGCTACTGCCTCTCTTCTCCAGGGCCAAGAACCTTCTCCACAGGCCAAGGACTTCACAGAGGAGAAAAGCCATTCCGTTCCACAGACATTTCTAAAGGGTTGACAGTGACAGGGTGGTGACACCTGGGCACACAGCCACCTCAGCTGGAAGCCACCATCGTCACATTGTCACCTGAGGAGGAGAAGCTAAGGAGAAGTCCCTGGTTCCTATGATCACTCAGTCTGCTCCGCTCCACCTCTTCTTGTCAGCCTTCAGAATCTGCAAAAACATCCACTGCCAACTGTGGCCACCCTTCCTGACATACACAGGACAGCCATGGCTGTAGCTGCCTCAGGACAGGACAGCTGCCTGTCCCAGGACCCACCTCCCAACTTCCTTAGGAGCTGCTTTTGGGGGAGATGATACACTTTCCCTGACAGCTAGGGTGGTGTCTGAACTGAGCGTGAAGCCAAGCTTTAAAGTCTGGTAAGTTAAAAATCCTCCATGAGGGTTGGGGAGATGCCTGGGTCAGCACAGCGCTTATTGCACAAACATGAGCACCTGAGTCTGATCCCCCAAATCCTTGTAAAAAGCCAGACATGGTAGAATGTACTCATGCTCCCAGTGCTTTGGGGGCCCAAAGAGGCAGATCCCTGGGGCTCAATGGCTTAGCTAACCTTGTCGATGTGGTCCCAGTGAGACCCCATCTCAAAAAACAAGGGAGATGAGCTAGGCATGGTGGCACACGTCTTTAATCCCAACATTGAGTAGGCAGAGACAAATCTCTGTTATAGGCCAGTTTGGTCTGCATAGTGAATTCCAGGCCAGCCAGGGCTATATAGTGAGACTCTCTATCAAAAATAAACTGGTAGTTAGAAAGAAAATGGCCCCCAAAGAGAGTGGCACTATTAGGGGGTGTGGCCTTGTTGGAGTGGGTGTGGCCTTGTTGGAGGAAGTGTGTCACTGTGGAGGCGGGCTTTGAGGTCTCATATATGCTCAAGCCATACCCAGTGTCTCAATTCACTTCTTGCCTGCAAGATGTAGAACCCTCAGCTACCTCTCCAGTACCATGTTGGCCTGCACGCTGCCATACTCCCAGATGCCCAGCTTCCCATGATGATAATGGACTCTAAACCTCTGAAACTATAAGCTGCCACCTCAATTGAATGTTTTCCTTTATAAGACTTGCCTTGGTCATGGCATCTCTTCACAGTAACAGAAACCCTAAGACATAAACCAAGGAAGACGTCTCCAGAGGAATAACAAGGTTGGCCACTGGCTTCCACAAGCACACATATGGATAGAATGTGAACACCTGTCTGCATATGTGCACCCCCATATATAAATATATCCTCCCTGAATGCAAAAGCTTCCATGGTGGCAGCGGCTCGTGGAGCAGTGTGCCGATCCTGAGCCTCCTTCCTCTAGGTCCCAGTGAGACACTCCACTCACCCTACACACACCCTCCTGCCATGACAGCCCTGTGCTCCAGGGGGCTATTCAAATACCAGCTGTGAGCCCATAAGGAGCAAACGGGTCCACTGGCTGCCCTCATTTCCTGGGCCTCCTCAGACGCCCCTTCGCATCACGTTGTGATACCTCAGGAGAAAGGAGCTTGTCTGGCAGGTGAAACAGGAAAGTCACACAGTCTTCTCTAACTTCCCTGACAGTTTCAGGGTGCTTCTCTCGGTTCACTTTGTCTTGGTTCAGTTAAGGGTCTGGTTATAAAGCATCTAAAGGAGACCCTGTCACTAGGGACTGGCCGTGAACACAGAGGACAATTTCACTGTGGGGAAGGAAACCACTTATGGCTCTGAGCCAGCTCAGGGGCTGACAGCCGTGTGACTTTGGGCAAGTGCTGCCCTGTAAACTGTGATACGGGGAGAGGATTGGGTAGTTTACCTCTGAGGACCCTCTCTGCGTGAACAGAGTAGCTGACTCCACAAACCCAAGAAAACCAGCTCTGCCTTCCTTCCCCGTCCTCCCTAATCAAGTCATCACTTAAATCTTCTTGCATTTACTTTGGCCTTCAAAGATGGTTCATTGAGCATCTTTTCATCCATGGCTGCCTTCTTCTTCTTCGGAAACCAGATGTAGAGGTCAAGGTATGTTGATGCAATCAAAAGAACCTTTAATATTCATAGTGTCTTGTACCAAACAAGTATGCAACATTCCATGGCGGGGCATACAGGACTTTGAAGCAATTGCAGTCATTTGTCTTTAGGGGGAGGCACAGTGTTCTGTAATCTTTCCTTGATTCCAGGATGTGCAATGTCAGACCTCAGACATCAGCAGTATTGATCAATGTGGCATCTCATTACCGTGGGCCTGGATGAAGCAGGTCACCGGGAGAAAAGACCACATAGCTTTGGGGAGCCAGGTGGGGTCCCCCTGCCTTCGACTGTGGGGTACGGCAGTCCCTGCCTGAGGTTCTCCTGCTGCACACTGAGGTGGTCCAATCCCTGAGTAATGGTGCAAAGGCCTTCTGCTCTGAGTTTTTCCTCTCCACCCAGGGTCCAAGTGCAGCTGGGTGTGTTTCCAGCTCTCCCTTCTGCACGGTGACATTGTCTCTCGGTCGCCCTCTCGTTGTGTAGTACCTCCTAGAGACTGCCCTTGACGGGATTTTTTTTTCTTTCTTAATTGTCCATAAAATGATCACATATCATGCATTGTGGTTTCTTATATTTGATTAAAATAATTTTGATTACAGTTATTAAATATATGTGATATATGATCCAGCTTGTTAATTAATATATATATATCAATATATATTATATATAATATATACTTATATATAATATATATTATATATAATATATATATTAATATATATAATTCTAAAGAATGGCTTTGTTAGATCAAGATCTAGTCTGCGCTACCCACTGAGAATTTCTCCCATGAACTCCTCAACATGCCAAAGTCCCGCTGGTTCTGCTCGTCCTCAGCTGTCTCCACACTCTATAACTCTCATTCTCTCTCCCTCAGTTTTCTTTCCATTCCCTCTCACCACAGGACACTGATATGATGGCCCTATGGGGGACACCTCTCTCCTTGGTTTCCTTAGCTGACCACAGCCCCAGTGTCCTCCATACATGCCCTGAGCAGATCAACTCCACTCTGTCTCTGTCTCTGTCTGTGTCTGTCTGTCTGTCTGTCTGTCTGTGTCTGTCTGTCTGTCTGTCTGACTGTAGGCCTTGCAGTGCTACCTACTTCTCTTTCACAACATGGGAACCAGCTGTAGTTCTGCAGTTATGGAATTCTTGATTAATGCTAGAAACTATCACTCAACTGAGAACTCCAGGGAAGCAGAAAACCAGCTTGATATTACTTGACACCACATCCCCGGACTCAAGTCAGCTATTTGGAAACTGGCAGGTGCCTGCTAACTATGTCTGAAGGGATGGATGAACTTGGGTATCACCCATCTCCTTAAGCAGAGCATAAGTTCCTAGAGTCCAAGCAGTTAAGGGAGTCAGAAAGAGCTACGGAATCATCAGAAGGCTCCCACTTTTATCACTAACCTTATGATGACCCAGGACAAGTCACATTCTTTGTTTTCTCACTAACCTGAGAATGATATTTAATAAAAATACTATGGGTGTTTTGCAAGGCTGTGGAGGTACTTGAAACAACACAGTTTGTCCCCAGTCCCAAGCTCCTAGCATCATGTGGGGTTCAGGGGCCATATTCTATGTGCTGTCTGCATGGATGTACTGATGGGCCTTCCTCCTAGGAGAGGGAGATGACATCACACAAACCTCCTGATGCTCAAAGTTTTGGTGCTAGAAGAGACCAATGAGCCTTGTGCTTCCCAAAGCTCTCTGAGGTTTCCCACACTTAAGGGCCCATGGCCCAGAAGATATGAATAAACACCTTGTTGTCTGCCTCTCATCTTCATTTTCAATGTAAAGTTGACCCCTTAGCCTCTGGGATCATGACTTTACTATTAAGATGGATATTTACAGCTAAGCCTCACGAAACTTCTTCCATACCTTGCCTCAAACATGGGTTTCAAACAGGTTATGAATGATTCTAACTCATTCTCCTTCTCTGAGTCAATTTTTTCATTGGCTACAGAGAAATGAATAGTAAAAATACTGTCATTCACTTTCTCAGCTCACAGAGCTGCACCCCACCCCAAGACAGGGTCCCATATATCCCAGGCTGGCCTTTAACTCAAACACAATGCATAGCCAGAAATAACTCTAATTGTCCAATCCTTCTGACTCCTCCTCTTAAGTACCAGATAGAGGTGTGTACCACCAAGCTCAGTTTATGCTATGCTAGGGATACAGTCCAGGGTTCTGCAGATGCTAGGCAAGCATTCTAGAAACTGAGCTATATCCCAGCCTCTTATCTCACAGAGTGCTTTACAAATTTAATAAGGTCACAGACATAAAGACTTGATGAGTGAGAAGACAATCTAAAAGAAAGTTAATATTTCTCTGTATATTTTAAAATCCCGACTCTGTAACAGGAAAGCAACCTGCCGACTAAGTTATTCTTAGTTATGTCGATCATTACCCAAGATCTGCACTCAAGGCATGCGGACGGAACCTGAGAGGTGAGCCAGTCTGTCATCATTACTGAGTTATCAAGTATCTCCTGGGGGCTGGCAGATACCCCCTGGAGAAGGGCATGCTGCGGGGATGTATTTTCTAATTGTTTCCACAGCTCAGCTTGCTGTGTCAGCGCCCCCTCAGAAAACCAGGCTGGTGAAGGAGTGCAAAGTAAATCACTAACTAGCACCTCGGTGGCTGGGAAACTCTAGAGGGAGTAGAAGAATGCATGCACACTCTGCAGGATAATTCCGGTGGGACGCCCCAGTAGAGTAGAAGACAGCATGCTTCTGCAAAGCACTGGGAACGCACTACTGACTAGACTCTGGCGCTCAGAGCTTCAAGCCGGCCAGGATTTCCTCTGTGTGCGATCTCTTGAGCAGCTCCGACAGGGACTCACTGGTGTCCTGGTGGAACATGGAGCCCAGACCGTAACCATCCGTGTTCCCACGCTCCAGCTGGGAGCTGCCCACCAGTTCCTGCATCCGCTGGATGTCGGCCGAGAGTTGCTGCCTCAGAGCCTCAAACTGCACCTGCAGATGGTCTAGCTTCCTGGCCATGCCTCCGAGGCTGGCCCCTGTGGTCCGGATGTCTTCTCTCAGGAGCTTCTTCAGGGACTCCACCTTACGGAACTCATACTTGAGCTGGGACAGGTTATGGCGGGCATTCTCGTTCTCCTCTCGGTACCAAGCCTCCTTCTCGTTGTAGATAGCGACCAAGGCCTCCACATCATCCTGCAGGGTGTCATGGGCTCCCGCTAGGGCATGGCATCCCTTGTCCACCCGAGCCACATCCTCTACCACATGGGCAAAGCGCTCAAAGTTGACGTAAGTGTTGTTGGGGGGCATGCTTGAGTGGCATTTGAGGGTATACTCTCTCAGGCGTTTGGTCTTCAGCTGGGCAGGTTGTGTCTTCCACTGCTCAGGGGCTCTGGCTTCTGCTTTTGACTAGTAGGTGTTCAGACAGAAGAACCAGAATATTAACATGATATGTGCTCCACAGGGCAGTCCACGCTGCAGGCGGAAGGCACACACATGGCCTCTTTGGCATTCATTGCTCGGGTCAAGACATGGTAGGGAGAGCCAGGGTGAGGCTAGCACCGCTCCCCCAACAAGACCATAAGAGACGTTAAGGAATGTGGGGGTGCTGCCTGCATGCTTACTTCAGGGAAAAGGGTTCCATGGCCATTAAGAGAGGGTTACCACACACATAGAATTTCACAGAAGCTTGCACACATGAGCAGGCTGCAGCTAGGGCTCTGCAAACATCCACTCAAGGGCTGAAACGTGCAGGCTACGGCAGGCAGAGGAAGGAAGGCTGAAGGTATCTGCCTTTCAGGACGCTGCAGCCTGGGCAAAGCAGCATGCTCAGCAAAAAAGGAGCCCAAGAGGCTCTCTAGCTTTGGGCTCTGGGCACATCCCAACTTGGAAGATTATTGGTCTTCCCCATCCTCCAGGGAGTAAAGGGATTTATCATCTCTAGGCCTCTACCCTTCTTATCTACACTTAGATCCTTTTTTGTGGGCCTTCTCTGTGAACAATGGAGGTAGTCTCAGGAGTGTTCAGCTAGTCAGCCCACAGAGCCGGGGCTGGAGCCTTGTTCTGAGTCCCTCTATCACTCCCAATGTGCTTTTCATGCCAAACTCCCAGGCTGTGAAAAACCAGTGGGCCCTCCACTGCGGGCGGGTTATGGGGATTCATTTTATGCCCTGACCCTCTCACAGGGAACAGAGCTGTCCTAAGAGATCCGGCTTCTCTTCCCCATCAGGTCTCTGTCTCAGGACCCAATCCCTGAGGCCACACAGTGCCTAAAGAAGCTTACATGACAGACTTGCATTTCATCCTGTAGTGAGAGCCCAGAAGGCAGGAAAAGAAATGTACCCGATCACAGAGTCAAGGTTTTAGTGGCCAGAGATCTGGCTACAACATGACCTCCAACAAAGAACATTTTGAAAGCTGGCCTCTGAAGGAAACGTGTCTTAGCTGAGGTCTGTGATAGGTCCATTGGCTCTCTGAACCCATGAAATACAAACTTAAGGAAGCATAAGCCTATTTTATTTATTTTTGTTGGTTTGTTTTTGCGGTGCTCTGGTGGAACTCGCAGCCTCATGCAAGCGAGGCAAGCACTCCAGTACTGAGCCAGTATGACCCCATTTGAACAAGCACAGGCCTCTTGAGGACCCCTGACCACTGCCGAGATCAAGCAAAGGCCTCTTAACAGCCGTTTGTATTTGACTGCCACAGCCAGCTCTGGGGGGGCTGAAGGGAGACCTCCTGCTCACTGGAATTCATTCCCATGCCCTTACCATGATCCAGGGATGTCTGAGAGCCTCTTGGATGGTCAGCCGCTTCCTGCAACGAGGACGAGGAGACAGAGAAATTCCATGAGGACAATTGATGGGAGCAGTGGTCCATGTCTTACCTTTCTACATTCTTGGGCTGTGCCTTCAAGCCAGCTGCAGACAGGGCTGAAAACTGGCTGCATTTCCAGTACTCTAGGGAAAGTGGTCCAGGCAGAAACCTCAATAGAGACACCTTACCACACAATCCCTCAACTTCAGTTCCGAAGTTGAAGACCCTAATTGGCACCCTCTGTTGAGCTCCCAGACTCCTCTGAAAGGCAGCTCTGCAGTGCCAAGCCTCTGGTGGCTGCTCTTGTGTTTGCCTCCTAGGTATCTCCTCTGTCCTTTATCGCTCTACATACAGGTAGGTACTCCAACCCCGGCACTGGCCTACACAGGGAGACCAGGGCTTCTGCATATCACAGGACCCCACTCTGGTTCTCTCTGAAGCCTGTGAAAACCAGAGGACATATGACCCTGTCCCCTGCCCATCCAGGCCTTTCTCTGATACTCACACAGAAAAGTCACAGTGTGGTGATATTGTGTTCCCCAAAATATTGTACACCCTAATAAACTTATCTGGGGTCAGAGAACAGAACAGCCACTAGATATAGAAGCCAGAAAATGGTGGCACACACACCTTTAATCCTAGCATTCCAAAGGCAGAGATTCCTTTGGATCTCTGAGTTCAAAGCCACACTGGAAACAGCCAGGCATGGTGACATACATCTTTAATCCCAGGAAGTGATGGCAGGAAGTAAAAAGGTATATAAGGTGTGAGGACCAGGAGCTAGAGCCTGGTGGAGCTTTTAGACTTTTAGCAGCAGTTCAGCTGAGATCCATTCAGATGAGGTTTCAGAGGCTTTCAGTATGAGGCAACGGGATTGGCTGAGAAGTTGTCAAGGTGAGGTAGCTGTGGCCTGTTCTGTCTCTCTGATCTTCCAGCATTCACCCCAATACCTGGCTTCAGGTTTGATTTTATTAATAAGAACTTTTAAGATTCCTGCTACATCACAGCTCTCTACAGAGTTTCTTGCCCATCCCCCTTCTTTGGCTATATAGCCATGAGGCTCAACCTGGGCTCTGTTGCAGGGGTAGGATTAGTATGCTTCATCTCTCCCAATATCCTGGCCTCTCTGCCTCCACTCTCAACTTGAACAGGACTCAAAATGCTCATTGTTTGTCTTTCAAGTCAGAGTCCTATATCCGTATGGGGAAGACTGCACGCAATAACCCATGATTTCCAAATACACCCGCATGCAAGCACGTACATGTGTATGCTCCTGGAGACAGAGTCATTTGTATTCTGGCAGGAGGAGACGAAGGCAAAAACCGAAATGACAAGATAAATGCCAAGTCATGGCCAGTGACACTTCTCAGCACCTGACCAGACTGGGCTACATGGCCCAGATGACCAAGTGAAGACAGATTAGCATGTCTTTGGAAGGCAATAGGAAAGGATGAGTACCGGAGAAACCACAGTCTTTCTTTATCCTCTTACCGGGTCTCTTTCACAAGAAGCTTCCGAATGAAGTCCTTGGCCAGTTCGCTTGTCTGGCTGAAGAACTCCTCATCGAAGTCGTAACTCACAGCTGTGATGTTTGCCAGTGTTTCTTGCTTCGTGTCTCCCAGGAAGGGGGACGCTCCACTTAGTCTGAGCACAACAGAGGAAGACCCATGTAACAGAGGAAAGGAGAGACACATTGGAGTAACAGACTCAGGGAACCCCAGCTTGCTCTCTCCAGGCAACCAAACAATAGACTTTTCAGTGCGGTCCAATTCAATTCACTTTCTGGACCTCCGACTGAGTACCTGACCCAGGGAGATTGTGTTTAATGGACTCAGAAGCTAAAAGAAGAGACAGTAGTCCCTGGCAGAACAAAGTAAAATACAATAAGGGGCCAGACAAAGAAGTTGGGGAGCACAGGGAAAGGGGGGGCGGTGCAGCATCATAGGGTGGTTGAAGTTTGCACTCTATCTTAAAGAATGAACAGGCTGTCAACCATCAGAGATGCTCTAGAAAGAACTTCCAGACCGAGGGAGCAACTTGAGCACAGCTTGAGAGGCACAGAAGGTGTACAAGATTTCGTCCCCACAGGGCTTGACAAGGGTGTATCATACAAGGACCCCCTGAAGCACCAGCTCGTGATTTTGACTTTCCCTTGAGTACCGGGTACCTCTACCCAGACACACCCTTGATAGGCATAAACCCCATGCACGCACTGCCTACCTGGATTAACCACACCATGCTAGAAAGAGCAGTCACCCTGCACTTTATTTCTGTTCCTTCGCCACATCTCACCTGGCTGAAATGTCTCTATTCATCAAACAGCTCTTGGAAGTCATTCCTGTCCCCATTGCTGCTTTCTTAGCCCAGGGAACAGCAAGGCCAGCCTGAGCTACATAGAGAAAGTCTGTCTCAAAAGACCAAGGGAAGGCTAAGGCATGATGGTGCACACCTTTAATCCCAGCACTTGGAAGGCAGAGGCAGGGAAAGGATCTCTATGAATTTGAAACTAGGGTAGTCTACATAGAGTGTCTAGGCCAGCCAGAATTACGCAGTGAGACCCCCATCTCAAAAAAAGTCAATAAATGTGGATGTATCTCAGGGGTAGAGTGCTTGCCTAGCACATACAAGATCTTTGGGGTCAATCCTGAGTACCACAAGAAATAGATAAACTGCCTTCTGTAACCCTGATCCATACTAGTGGCTGTAGAATTAATGATCATTATTTCTGTCATTGATAAAATACAAATAACTCTCAATGAGTTCTAGGTCCCCAGTTTCCATAAGACCAGAAATTGGTCTATATCACATGTGCTGTGTCCTCACCCACCTCTTTACTATCCAGGGAGTTGATTTTATTCTATATCTCCCAGTTCAAATATATCTGTCTGACTATCTAGCTATGTATCTACCTACCTACCTACCTACCAACCTTCCTTCCTTCTACAATTCCAGCCTCTCCCTCTGGGTTTCATAGACGTGTGCTCAAACCTCCAATGTAACTATGCTCCCACAGGGTGACACTAACTGTGGGGTGTATCTCCCACAGACACAGAGCCCAGGACAAGAAAATCCAACCCTCCTCCATGTCAGGATCCTGAGTTCCTGGCCCAGTGCTTCTGATAAAATAGGTTTTCAATGAAGCTGTGACAGCCAGGCCTGGTCACATGGGGCCTATAATCCCAGCTCTTGGGGAAGCTGATATAGCTTCACAAGTTCAAGGTCTGCCTGGGCAATTTGGTCTCTATCTCAAAAGAAAAAAAATTAAGAGGGTCCAGGTATATAATTCAGTGGTAGCACATTTGCCTAGCTATGTTAAATTACTCTAGGTTCAATTCCTAGTACCACAAAAATAAATAAATAAATAAATAAATAAATAAATAAATAAATAAATAAATAAATAAATAAAGCCAGATCTACACAGTAAAACAAAACAAAGAAAAATAATATAAAATAAAATAAATATCAAGTTCAAGGAGTCATAAGAAGACTGTGTGGCCTGTAGAATTCTTTAATAGTTCAATGTGAAAACTACAATACTAAAGAAACCCAAGATTTAAGAACCAATAGGTGACTTCCCTGGCTCTAGAATTACAGAGGAAGGCTCCTTGGCCTTCGGGCTGCAGCAGAGCCCGCTGGGGCCATGGCCCTCCCCTAGTGATTCTAACTGAGTGGATCTCAGGCCACAGTAGGTATTAAGAGATCTACTGTGCAGCCAGGGTTGAGGGTCTCAGCCACAGCTGGGGAGTCACAGTGTGGCTGTACAGAGCTCCCAGCTTATGCTGCTGAGGACACTCCTTCACCTGTGGAACACTGGCCCTGGCTATGGGCATTTACCCTGAAAATGCCATGAAAATAGGTTTTTCTGTGTGGGCTATGAGAGGGTAGCCACTGGGAACCTACGAGGGGCTGAGTGTCCACTAGCCAAAGCAGTGCCTTTAAAACTTGTGCAAGTGGCTTATGCCCACCTACCCCACTTCCTGTGGCAGGAAGTCCGTGATTCCTAATCTTCAGGTAAGAAAAACAGGTCTAAAGGTTAAGTACCTGCCCATAGCCACACAAACTGAAAGACAGTGCTAGTATCCTGTCCCAGATGAGGCCTAGTCCACTAAATCAATCAATCAATCAATCAATCAATCAATCAATCACACAAAATCACATACGCAGAAACTGTGACTTAAGTCACCAGATACATGGGGACAAGAAAGGGGGAAAGAAAGGAGGAGGAAAGGGGGTGTGAGAGGGAGGAAAAAGGACCTAGGGATGAGAAGAGAGAAAAGAGGAGGAGGATGGGGCAGGTGTAGGCGCCTTCATGGCTGTCACAAGGATTCTGGCGAAGCAACGGTCTTCCGGTGAGCATATATAGCCTGCGGAACGCTGAACTGAGCCACCCTAGCTTGCCACAAAGGAATTTAGAAGCGAGCTGTGTAGGAGGCGAGGGCTGCTCTCCCAGACTCCCAGCCCTGCTCAAGTGTATGAAGTGGAGCTCCGAGCTCGGCCTCAGGTGCTCTGTGGACTTGACACATCTACTCCTGATGTCCCCCTGCCCCCCTCACTCCTCCTGAGCTAAGCAGCTCTGCACCCCAAGGCCGGAGATACTCACAGGATGTAGGTGATGACGCCGATGCTCCTGCAAAGGAGAGTCATGTCAGAGCTGTGTGGCTTCCAACCTCAAAGCCCCAAGGCAGTCACCATGCAGGGCCGAGAAGTCACTTCCTTCCCAGGTGGCCCCTGAATGCCATTTCAAGCCCCCTCCCTCCCACCCCACTCTGCAACAGACCCGAATGCAATTAGAGTCTTTGCAGACTCTGCCATCAGAGCATGTCCCTTAACCTCTGAGCCCACTTTCCTTATAAAATGAGGACAATAAATAATAATAACAGCCTCACAGGTGGCAGGATCTTAGAAAGGCAAGTCACGAGCTGGGCCAACTGTAAAGCAGTGTTCAAATAAAATATGTAAAGAACTGATCACAGCAGGTACTACTAGAGAAACATCTGCCTGGGACATAGGATACACCTGTGGAGCACCTGATGGACTGATCAATGGAGCTCACTTAACTGTTACCTAGACCCCAGTCGGGGCTGGCCCAGGATGAGCCTGTGCTTGCCTCTGCCTCCCCCCTGATGACAAAGCTCTAACTGGCCATGGGTCCCAGCCTCATTGCCTCCTGGTTTCGTGTCTCATGCTCCTGGAGCATTACAGACTAGGAGGCTAAAAATTATGAGTGTGAAATTAAGAAATTACATGCTCAATGGCATGTCATCTAAACCAGGGGCTGAGGCCTTCTGCTCCTGGAAGGATCCCAGGCCACCACTTACCACATGTCGGCCTCCAGTCCCAGTGGCTCATAGTTCACGATTTCTGGAGCTGAAAGAAGTCAGGTTGGGGAGTCAAGAGGGGGTAGAGATGAGAGGAGATGGTTCTAGGGAATTCTAGGGTAATCGGTGCCAAATGTCTCCATCTTGAATCTCTGATAGAGGGAGGGAGGAATATTCAAATGGTAGATGGAAATAATCAGGATGTAAGAATGTTGAGAAAATAAGTTGCTATGGACAGTGTGTGTTTCTACAGAAAGTCTGTGTTGAAATCTAATTCTCAGGCAACAGTATAAAACGATGGAGCCTTACAGGTGATTAGGTCATGAGAGTAGGACCTTCAGAATAAAGTTAGACTCTTATAAAAGGTCCCCATTGTTCCCTCCTTCCATATGAGGACAGAGAAGGACACTGCCATCTATGTGAAAAGGTCCCTCACAGAGGCCAGGTCCACTGGCGCCATCTGGGACTCTCAACCACCCAAACCGTGACCAACATGTTTCTGTTGTTTATAACCTATCCAGGCTCAGGTGTTTGGTTACGGCAGCCGGTCAAGGTAAGACTTCCTGCTAACCTGGGAGAAATGACTCATGAACAAGCCTTGATGAGGAGGAAAAGGAAGGCCCAAAGGAAGAGGAATGTGGGAAGAAGAAGGTTCAGGAAGAAGACATAGAGGTCCGTGTGGTAATATACTGTATCCCCAATATATGGTGCATCCTAATAAACTTATCTGGGGTCAGAGAACAGAAAAGCCACTAGATACAGAGGCCAGAAAATGGTGGCACACCTTTAATCTTAGCATTCCAAAGGCAGAGATCCATCTGAATCTCTGTGAGTTCAAAGCCACACTGGGTATAGCCAAGCATGGTGACACACACACCTTTAATCCCAGGAAGTGATGGCAGGAAGCAGAAAGGTATTTAAGGCGTGAAAACCAGGAACTAGAGCTGGCTAAGCTGTTAGGCTTTTGAGCAGCAGTTCAGCTGAGATCCATTGGATGAAGACACAGAGGCTTTCAGTTTGAGGAAACAGGATTGGCTGAGGCATTGGCGAGGTGAGGTTAGCTGTGGCCTGTTGTGTCTCTGATCACCCAAATACCTGGCTCTGGGTTTGTTTGTTTTTATTAATAAGAACTTTTAAGAGTCGTGCTATAGGCCCGGTGATGGGGAGGAACCCTGGTGGACAGAGACTCCAGACAGGTCCATGCTGTTGGGTGATGGGGAAGAAGGTAGAGAGGGCCTTCATCTTCCTCTGAGTCCTGCCTGACAGGTGGCATCATCTGAGGACATTCTGGGGGAGGGGGGTCACTGAGTTAAGGTGATAAACCTGAGGGGACGCCGAACATGCCAGGGGACAGCTGGCTGCAGGGGAGGAGCGTGAGCCAAGCATCAGATTTGAAGCCATTAATACAAAAGTGGAAGCAGGAGGTGGGCCAAAGATATGGTGGGTGACCAAGAGAGGGCGGAGCTCAGAAGAGAAGACTCTGCTATAGACACAAGAGGACCACGTGCTGCCCAGAGCACCAAGGCCCCAGAGAGCCAATGCTGAACTGACACCCACTTTGTCCGTGACTTTTAAGAATGTAGTAATGAAGTGGATGCAGTCAGTACCTCACGAGAAGAGGGGTGCCTGCTAGCTGCTAAGACAAGAGGGAGAGCATGGGAAAGACTGAGATTGTTTATCCAGGATACTGTCCAAACCATTGCATCTATAGGGTCTGTCTGCTGTCCTCCCCTCTACACCCCCTCCTTCAGCATACAGACACCCCTACACTGGCTTTGGGGTTTGTTTTTATTTATTTATTTATTTATTTATTTATTTATTTATTTATTTTTGTTTTTCGAGACAGGGTTTCTCTGTGTAGCTTTGCGCCTTTCCTGCAGCTCACTTTTTAGACCAGGCTGGCCTCGAACTCATAGAGATCCACCTGCCTCTGCCTCCCGAGTGCTGGGATTAAAGGCAAGTGCCACCACTGCCCGGATTTTCTCTATTTTATAAAAATGGTGCCAGGATGCATTTGAAATTCTCTCCCTTGATTGTTTTCGCTTGCTTCGTCCATGGACTTCCATTTTCACAGCTGTGTGACAGCTCATCCACTGTGTTACTGTCTATTCTTCTCTCAGAGATCACTTGGATGGTTTCTGCCTTTCATTATTGGTGCTTTTTAAAAATTATTTCTGCTGCCAGGCGGTGGTAGCGCACGCCTTTAATCCCAGCACTCGGGAGGTAGAGCCAGGTGGATTCCTGTGAGTTCGAGGCTAGCCTGGTCTACAGCGCGAGATTCAGGACAGGCACCAAAGCTACACAGAGAAACTTTGTCTCGGGGGAACAAATTATTTCTGCTCATGGACACATGAAAGTGTGTTTTTTTTTAAAAATGAATTTAAATTAAGTGTGGACCTCAAGTAACCTATGGACTGGTCCAATAAGATAGGTGCATAATTTGAGAGTCCATATTTAGAGAATCTTTTTTCTTTTTTTTTAAGTTTGAGAGCCAAGGTCTCACTGTACAGCCTGTGCTGGACTCCAACTCACAATCCTCCTGTTTCAGATTACTGAATTAGAGACATTTTTTTTTTTTTTGTTTTTCAGACAGGGTCTTATGCAGCACAGTCTGGTCTCAAACTCCGGTCTCAAACTCCCTGGGCAGCTTATCATGGCCTTGAACTCCAGATCCCCCTGCCTCCACCTCCCAGTTATTGAGATTATAGGTGTGTACCAGCATGCCAACGCCAAGTTAGATAATCTCACACAGCAACTTGACATCACTTTGATTATGATCATTTCTTTAGGAATTTATTTTCATTCCTCCCCCCGCCTCTGTGTGTGTGTGTGTG